ATGATTCTGAGCGCATCTATGAAAAAAAATTATTGATCACATTATAAAAATTACACGCAGAGCAAATGAATGCACCTTACCAATGTCGAGAGGCAACAATGTTAAAGTTTACAAGCATCAAAATATTAAAATGTTGAGATGTTAATGGTGTGAGTAGGCAACGAGAAAATAGACATCCACATCCTAGGGTGTCGGTGTGGATGTGGGTGGTGACTTCTCCGTATCTACATCCACACCTCCACCCACACACACACTCCACACTAGTTTATGTCGATGTATGTCCTGACATTACTATATTTGCAGATTTCAAGCCTGCTAAATAATGAATATCTCTACTGGCCAAATAAAGATGTCGCGGAGTATTTGATAAACGTTGTCGTTGATACGTAATACGTGTGCTGTTTGAAAATTAAATAACACTGAATATATCGTCACCACATTGATAATTCTGTCATATCATCAAAAAGCTTTTATTCTATTTTTTTTTCGTATGAACTGGTTTTATACAATAAAACATAAGATCGAACTCGTTATCGTTTTGAAGTAGTCGACTATAAATACTTTTTATATTATGTTCTGTTCTATTCTTATGCTGATCAGTTAGATCATCGTTCAATTCAATGCAATGAGCAAGTGCGTCAGTAATAAGAACAATAAAACATGCATTTGATTTATTCCATTTTTATAATTTCAAACATTGATCAAGTACACCCATGACATCCTCAGCACAATCGTCATCGTCTGTCACTGGTAATGTACCAAGAAAATTTGTCAATTCTGTGACATTATCTGTAAATATGCAATATACGGATGGCTTATAGACTGGAACGAATCGTTGCGGTAAAATTTTCAATCAGCTACTGATTTTCCTCGCATTTCGGTCCTCTGTCTTTCTAATGTTGTTACCAGAGCATTTGATTTAATGAACTCACGTGTTAAGTTCTGCGAATATTTTAACTGTATAAATATGATGAAAAACAAACGAGTAGTTTTTAAAAACTACGTCTTATATGTGAGTCGAATATCAAATATAAGTGTCCAATTGGTATTTAATATCAGCTTATCACATATTTACGTTCATGTACATATACACATCGGTTTGCTTTTCGAAGAGGCATGGCCGCAGGATGACCTCTCAATAAGTGAGATGGAGATGAAATAGGTCATTCATGACCGCTCCCAATAAATTTTCGGGCGATTCGGTCACCAAAGAATATAAAATTTCCGACGGTACAGTGTCAATTGCCCTCCAACGGCATTGCACATCTCTATTTTGTATTCTTCGGTCATGCTTCGACTAGTCTCAAATTTTTGACCTTGTTCATTATTCTTTGAGCAAAGGACAGAAATTTCTATATATTCTGTTGAAATAAAACACGCTTTCACATATAATCATTTTATTTATCATGCATATTTATGCACATTTTGTGAGTATACAAAAGTCTTTTCCAAAAGATATTATTTCAATGATATTCTTTCTATAGCTTTTTTGTTATTTTATCTTCTTACTGCAAAGTAAACAATGCGGTTTTTGTTTGTCTCTTGCGAACACAGAATCATCAACCCAAAAGTGGCAAATACAAGAAAATATAGCTCATTTACAAGAACATAATAATCAGTATGATAATCTAATTGTTTATTTCAATTCTACATTATTTCACTATATAATTAATTTAGATCTTTCAAAAACGACGAATCAGCATTGCTTCGTAGTTTGTCAAAATTATTTTTGAATAAATTAAACAACATTATTCTTCAGACAAATAACAACAGCGCATTATCAAATTCTGAAAAGAATACAACACAAGGTAATTTTAACGACAATATTTCATTTAAAGTTTCTGCAAGCAAAAAACTTCAACTGTTTCAGAAATATTTGTCGATCTTAAAAAAAAACAGAACACAAAGTCAACAATTTTAATCACAGACCTATCTTAATTAAAAATAGTTACTGTAGAAAGTATATCTCAATAGTATTATAGTTGCAATTTTTTCAAGTATTTTCTCGTGAGTAAAGTTTGTTTAAAGAAATATTATATTAAATGAAGTCTGTTGCACAGACATCACGAAGATTTCATAATTTGGTAGTCTGTAAGAATACATAGTGTGAAATGTTTTCTAAAAACGATTTTTCTCGTTTGCACAAGAAATACTTGTCAATGATGGACGAATAGAGCCTGTTGGGTAAAGCCCAAACTCGATCAGATATGAAAATTTTCTGTCGAGCAGGTTCGGATCCAATCGAACAACTGCTACTCTTAAAATAACAGTCAATTATAATTTTATTCTTCTTTGGTTATTACCGTTAAGATCATTTGAAAAATATGTAGAGTGTTCTAATCGCTGAATACAATAATCGAAAAATATTTCGTATCTTCAGAGTGACCATCAGTTTGGATCCAAAACTTTTGGATTTGACAGTCTCTACTCACCAACTAACTGCAAACTGTAAGAATCGATGGAAAATGAAAAGGTCTAATTTTCTGTAACATGTAAAGTAGCGAATGGAAGGATCACTCTTAGAAATTTACTGAGATTTAAACAAGAAAATTAATCTAATATTGGATTCTACACTATATTTTACATTGACAATAGTGAAAGGAGAAACTTTGAAAATCAAACTAGTAGTAGTGTTCAACTGCTAGTCTAAGAATTTTTGTTTAAATGGTGTTAAATCGTCAGCGAAAATCTGGATAGCACAGAAACTCACGTGCCAATATGGAACAAACTGAGCCAAGTTCAATTCATTCCGGTTTGTAACTTAAGTCAAAAGGGTTTATAAGCCACGCTGACCTAATTTGCTCCGTTTCTCTAGTTCGCGTACACTATAACCTGAATCAAACGTTTAAGTTCTTATATTATTCATTGAAGAACAACGAAATACTATTTTTTGACAATTTTCTGAAAAGTTCTTAGGTTTTCGTACGTAGATTAAATTAGATTAAGTCTTGATAATCTATATTGGCTATCACATTTGCTTTGAGTTTCGAGTAGTATCTGTTAGAAACGAAACAATTTTGTTATAATACTTTATACTTTCACTTTTTGTATTAGATACCATCTATCGAAGGTGTGATCGATATGAAGGAAATCTAAAAAATGGAGTGAAAGACGGTTATGGTATTATGTACTATGCTGATGGAGGAAAATATATCGGTTACTGGGCTAACAATACGTGTAATGGTCATGGAATATTTACATTCCCTAATGGTGATCGGTATGAAGGAAATTTTAAAAACGGCCATGGACATGGAAATGGTACTCTTTATACCGGTAATATAAGGTATTGGGGTGGATTGATCGCGGATCGAATGACTGATGAAGGCGATGTTAAATGTTTAAATTATAGTTTAGACGAAGAACCTCTCATGAACAATCATATTAATGTAAATTATAGTGATTACAATACTTTTTTTAGTAAATATATAGGAGAATTCGTCGATAATCAATTTCATGGTCATGGTATGCTTGCGTGGTCAAATGGTGGCCGATATGAAGGAAATTTCATAAATGGTACCAGGAATGGATATGGTGTCTATTATTGTCGCGATGGCAGCAAATGTGCGGGGCAGTGGGTTGATGGTTATATGAATGGTGAAGGTGTCTGTAACTGGACCACTGGTGATCGATTTGAAGGTAATTTTAAACACCATAAAAAAAATGGAAATGGTACATACTACTTTGCCGATGGAACGAAACATGTTTCTGAATGGGTCAACGATACTACAGTCGGTAATTATGCAATTACATGGTCAAATGGTGATCGATATGAAGAAAATGTTAAAAATAACACATTATATGAAAATGGTACTTATTATTATGCTGATGGAAGTAAATATATGATTAGGAAGATCAATGGTAAATTACTCGACTATGGTGTGTTATTATGGGCAAATGGCAGTCGATATGAAGGACCTCTATTAGATAGCAAGTTACGTGTTATGAAAAACTATAGACCACAGATGCTGGTTGTACATTGACACGATAATCGAATAAAGACACTTTCACAAATTAGATATTCTTTAAATTTTTTTCTGTATATGTACTTAGTTAATGATGTAATTAATCATAATAAACTTTAGATGTAGATTAATAACTGCTTTGCGTAAATTTTCAAAAGGGTGTGGGTGTGGGTGAAGAGAAAATCGAGACCCACACCCTGTACCCTTTCGCTATGCTACTCTCAAAAACATCGCCTAAACACAGTGAGCTTAATGCACAAATCACTACATAAAACTTTCTCGATTGTTGAAAGAAATAGTAAAAAAGAATTAAACATAACAAAATAATACAATGATAACTTGACTGCAACTGAAGATGATGAAAATACATTGAGGAAATATTAGTCCTGATTTTGTAGAAAGCATTAGCAGAGTGATGAAAGCTTTAGGTTTTTTTTTACAGTGCCTAATATATTCCATTTTATCTAACATTGATTTGATTAAAGATGACTTTAATTGTCAATCGAAAAATAGACTTTTCCGATGTTTCTTTGTAGGAAAAAATATGATGACACACGTGTATAGTGTTCGTGATCTATTCAAATTTTGAAAATAGCTATAAATATTTAGCCTTGTAGTCCAAGTAGAACATTCAATGACACATCTTTAGAAAGAAAAGCTCAATGTTTTATCATATTTCTAAATGGAATTACATGAAAAACAACGAAAGTCGCAAAATTTTTGTCCCACTCAATATATCTCATGCAATTTAATTTCAACCATCGTTTTAGATAGAGAATTACTTTATCTGATAGGAAATAAATTAGATTAGCATTAAAGTCTGAAGTAATCTAACAATAACACTAATTTTCAATTGAAAAAAAATTCTCTTTTATAATTCCTCTTCTTGTTCAATATTCGGTTTATTCATTTTTCTATCAAAAATTCTCAGATCTAGGTACTCGAAATTTATTTATTCGTTACATGGATTGTGCAGTCTGTATACCGATCCGATAGAATATTTGAAGAGATTTTATTTGAGCATAATCGAAGACTTTAATAGTTCCTTTTTCTTGAGTATGGCCGACCGATTTGATATCAAGGCATCTTGTTCAAATAGCTAATTGTAAGAAACATCTGCTAGAAAATACAAACATCATACGCACACATCTTTTGTAAGGATGCTAATGCTTGGATAAATAATCTACTGTAACAAACATATTAAACTAACGTCTTTTTTTTTTTTACATCTATTCAATCGAAGTAATATGTAAATAGAACTCATTTGATGTAGTATATAGTAATAAGTTGACATGTCTTCGATATAGCGAGATGAAATGGTTTCTTTAAAGTGGACAAAAAAGAAAGAGATCATATTACTGACGCCAATTGTTTTTTCTATTCTTTAATGCCTATAAGAAGCGTGATTTTTTTTATGTACAACACAGAAATAACGTAGTTATCATTTATTAGGTAATACATCTTTTTTTTTATTTTTTTATTTTTTCGTTTCATTATTCAATGTATGAATTAAGATATAAGACCAAAATTATGGGATTTCGAAGCATACTTTAGTTTTTTTTATTGCAACTTATCTTCAATTTTGTCACTAAAATTAAAATGTTGATCAAATGACCTATTTTATAATAGTGAATACTTCGTTTTTCGTTCACTTTTCAACATATTAATATGCTAGGTAGAAATAGTAAGTCTTATCTATAGTCAAAATGAAATCTTTATAGGATAATACTTATAGTATGAAATAATAAACAATGGAAGTTCATACTGAATTGTATTACTAACATAAAGAACCATTCACGCTTGAGAGTGTGGGTGTGGGTGTTGTTCTTTACTACACCCACACCCACACCCACACCCTAATATACTGCACTGAATATCTGTAAAGACATTCAATGAGTTAGAATTAGAGATGAAAGAACACTTACCCATTGCATTGTTGTAGGTTATGTGTATTCACTTCTACATAGTTTAGTCTCAAAAAGAACCGAGAGAAGTGGCAAGAATCTTAATTTTTATGCATACATATACGAAAAGAGAAGATAATTAAAATAAAACAAGCGTCTATTCTTAGCATATACGCGGCGATGGGATCACCGGTGGACCCCAGTCAATTTTAACAAGAAACTTGGTAGAGAGGAGCTTTCTTTCTCTTTTTCTTTGACAGAAATTAATGATTTCAGATCTTGGGTGTGGGTGTGGGTGTGGGTTTAAATATTCTCATTCCTCAAAGACCCACACCCTTTCTGTACTCTATTCTTAATTGTCAATTAATTAGAAGCGTACTCAAAGAATTGTACGAAACCAAGAGTGAAACGTATTTCATATATCGTATTTTAATATATTCATGGAGATCCAGAGATGGAAACCAAATTCTTTTTGTACGGGTGTCGCTACTATGATATTTATAAGATTGGAGGATTTCGAATAACAATTGAACTGGAATAAAGACACTTCGTAAACACTCAATTTCAATAAGTCGTTTATGTACAAAACAACTTCTATTATAATGAATAATTTTATTTCAGCTATTCTTTTCAGATCAACTATTTTCTTAACTGAATATTTTTTGCTAAAAATTTATTTCAAGATAAGTCTTTCAATCTTTGACTGATATAGAGTTTATAAAGTTAACATTTTAATATGCTAGGTCTTGACTCATTAGTATTACGGTGTTGTTCTTACACTGGAATTTATATTTTATTTTTCATTTTTCAGATATGTATCACATAAACAAAAATGACTATCCGCAGTATCTTGTTTTAAGTGAACCTCCATCAAGAAACTAATTTTTACATATGAGTTTTTCAGTTCTTTTTTCATTTTCAGTTGTATTTCGATGGTATTCGTTTAGCTGATGTTCCTCCATGCAACATGCAAAAAACTTTGTCATTTAACTTTTCTTAAGTGAAACATTTTTTCGATTAAGTCCTATACCATCACCCTCAGGCACTGCTATAACAAGTAGAAGAACCCAAAACCTGTATCTTTTTTCCTTCACAAATATAGTTACAAAATTTTAACGTATGTATTGAGGAACAGCAGCTTAACGAACATCCATTTTGATTTAACTGTGAACAATTAATTGTTGTATTCGTAACCTTTCACTTGTTTTCTTTTTGTATATTGTGTTCATAAAGAATAATACATATAGTGAGATTTTTAATAAAAATGATTATTCACTATAAATCAATAATAAGATATAGTGAGTTTATGCAAAATTTGAAATTATGTACACTAAATGAAGCCTATAGCTAACAAAATGAAGAGCGGTAATCGATTTTAAAATCGCGATTTATCGTAATAATCACTAAAAATACCATTAAAAATCGGCGATTAATCGCGTTTCAGCTCACGATTATCGTTTCAATATATCGCGATTAATCACTAATTTTGCAGCGATTTTCAGGACATGGATAAGTATAGTTTATGGAACGTTTCTAGGTGAGATGAGACTAAGAACTTTTCTAAATAACAATAGAAAGATGAAAGGGAGAGGAAGCAAACTTTGAAATTTGTCGTCACAATTTTCATCAAGAAAATTCGAATAGGCTAAAGAAAATAGTTTTAAGTACGAAAACTACCATATCTTCTCCATAGATATTTTTTGACTCTGTTTCTTTAAGGTAAAATCAGAATGAATGCTATTCCAATCTAACTAATCTAGTTTATTCTGTATGAATATAAAGAAAAATGACATGATTTAAGAGCTATTGTATATTCGTTGATCTTAATTATATGTTTTATTAATAACACTGATGCATCTTTCAGAAGTAGTCTTTGTAATAGAACCTGTCATATATATAATAATAAGAATCGAATTCTTATATTTTTATGTGTCATTGCGTTATCTTTAACTTTATTCGTATTTGTATGAATAGCACATCATTCCATCCTTTTATTATTTCATAATTATCACAATATTCAATCGTCGAAAAGTAGGGATAAAAATTTAATTGTCACTGACAATTACCTATTTAACATCACAATAAATACTAGTTTCAGTGAAAAACAAAAGATCACATTTTTCATACAGCGTGCTCAAAGCAAACATGGCATTATGACGAAATCTGAAATTCTTGCTTTTTTAAATATTCGTGCTTCCCTAGCTCAACGGTCTTCACCACCTATAGTTACAAATACTGATGAGAAAAAAAAAGCAATGTATTTTATGATGTTTGCACATTGAAGCATTATTCTACGCTAGCATGGTTTTTGAATAACTAATTGAATAATTATGTCTAAAGAAAATTGTTATATTTATTCTTAACAGCCGATTCTTTGAACCTAGGTAATGCTCTTTTTTTTGTCTGAAAAAAATTAGTATAAGTCGGCAGAAGCAATCTTTCTATGAAAAGTCATTTACCATTATATTCTCGAGGAAAATTAAAGTATTTTATCTAGAGCATCAGATAATTAGGTGAAAACAGACAGTTTTTTGTCACATTTATACAATGATAGTTATCTCCTAATTTTTGAAAAATTTAATTACCAGTCAATATTTTTCCTATTCTGAATAAATCGCTACTGTTTGAGTATATCTCAACACAAAACTTAGATCAGAGAAAGATCAAAAAACATTGTTTACAATATATAAAATACTCATTGACTATCTCATTAACTAGTGAACCTCTTTGATATGTTACTATGCGCCTATCTTATTAAGCTCTTAACATTTCCAAGATTTTTCTCTCTAGAAGAAACAGTAGAAAATTTGAACAAAACCAAGTTGTAGATGTCAAAATCTCTCATTTTCTTTGCAAGCTTTAATTTCAAACTCCAGTGGAGTGCTTTTAAAAATATATTACCTACTAAACTAAACAAAGCACAAATAATATAACATATTTTATTCGAGAATAAAATTTCTCTTTCAGATAAATTCCGTCACTGGTTTGATCAGATACATTTTTTTAAAAAGAGAATGTAGGATTTCACTTTCGTTGTGTGAAACTAGAGGAGCCAAACTCACAGTTACTCACATCTTACAATAAATTTCTTATATTTCGAAGTCTTTTGAATTGTATTTTGAGTTATGGGAAAACTATTTGTACCTTTGTATACAGCTTGTTGTGTTCTGCTTGTTTCAGAAGTAGCAACATTCAACCAAGTTTCTTAGTGACTCCTACTTGAAAACGCTTCAATTTGAACTTAACTACATCTATTTTTTCAAAACATTGTTAAAGTAAAGATCGAAATATTGGTTGTTTGTATTACTAACAAATCTAAAGAGTATTAGAATTTCAAGTCATATTCGGATATAGCAATGCATACAGGATTTCAAATAAATGACTTTCATTACTTTATAAGTCAGTTAAGTTAAAAAAGTCACAACGGTAGTTGTTTCTCCCTTGCTTTGAACTGCATTCCCTAGGACTACCAACAGAAATCGATTTATCTGAATTGAGCATCTTTCTTAGAACTCCAATGATATATATGCAGGTAATGAAAAAGGTATTAGGAAATTCAACGTGTTTCTTAATGTTCACCAAAAGAACTAAAGATACCATGAGGGTGGGTGTAGATGTCGGTAACCTTTCTATTCGACACCCACACCCACACACCCCACAATAAGAAATTCACTTGTATTTTCTTATTGTATCGCCGGCTAATCTGTCTTTAATTAAATACAGATCATTCTGTTCTTTCTTTTGTGTGTTTTCAATATTAAACTTCCACTTGTTGTTGTGACTCTAGTTAGTCGTGTTTTTTTTTCTGATATTTTGATTCATCACAACATTCATTTATTGTGCATTCTTGAACTCCGCACTATTGCTTTATTTACTGTTCACTCATTAGTTTCATGTGTTATTTTCTCTCGTCTCTGTAATGTTCTCTGCTTCTATTTTTGCTATCACAGACACTCGCGAGTTCGTTATAACTAAGTCTATAGTGTAGCATTTATCATAAATATCTTCTATTTTTCACACCTATTATTCTACTGGCTTCTTTTTACTAACACAGGACCTAGTAGCTGTTAATATGTTTACTTATTTTTCTTATGTGTTCAATATGTATCGTTGATTAGTAGATAGACTGTTCTTGTCTTTTATAATCAGAATATCTCAGTTTCTAGGGTGGTTGTTTTTATCTTCTGTTTCTCTCTTGTTTTCATTCTATTTTTAGCTTACTTTTTCTGCGCTTTGCTTTTATGTCAATCTTCAAGGCTTATTTATTTCTTGTTCTTGTCTTTTATCGAGTTTTCTTCGTATTTGTTGGTCAATATCCCCATTAGATAGCACTTGAGAGAAAGCAAAAATAAACGTTATTACAATAATATGATATCATAAATATAATCTATCCTGTTCTTCTCTTTTATTGCTTGTCGAAAGGTGATAGTATACTCGATATACATAGTGGCATTGTTTCTTTCTGTTATTAAGATGATGGTTCTCCTATGTATTCTGTGCGTCAATGCAAGAACAGTATGTCTTTTCTATGTCATCGTCGTTATATTTATCGAGACGGTCAAGTATTTTTTTTTCTTTGTTTTTCTTCTATCTCTGAGATGCAAGTTGTAGTACATATCGTAAAAATAGGAGTGAATACATTAATTTAAAAAATCTGTAGAATTGTAATCGTCAAAGAGTTTTGTAAAGTTCAACGTGTGATTAACTCTTTCACTGTATAGAAAAATTTCCTAAAACCTATTTAAGGGTTTAATAAATGGTTTGGATAATCAATGAATCCTTTCAGGGTTTATAATACGTTGTACTTTCAAGTACTCGTTTGGAAGTTTAGGAAATATGTAAAAAACTGATGAAATATGAGCCAGTCCATATAAGGTTAGCAGTAAATTCTCTATGACAATGCTCGATTAGAATTCTTCGACTTGGCTTATTTTTACACATGTAAAAGAAATAAGTGTTTGATGAATTTGCATAAGAGTTGATTGAAAAAATATTGAGCCATTCATTTTTTTATTGCACTTTTATTGAAAGTACTATAAAACAGATTTTTACGAGGAATGATTTTGAAATCTTGGAAAAATCAGCAATGCATCAACCATTCGAGATGAAACTCTTATGCATGCACCATATGTTTCACTTCAAACATTTACGTGCTTGGTATTTTATGTTTTCCATGAGTTGAGGGAAAGCGAATTTTTGACCGATTTTCAATGCTCATGTCTCTAAATTAGAGAATGACAGAGACTTATAGTTTTCAACGGAAACACAAGTCAATGTTCCCTAACTACTATGAAATTTTCGGTTCTCCGAAGCGAAACGTTCGTGCAGAATAGTTACAACAAAAATCAATTTTTCGTCAAAAAGTCGATCATTGTCCTTGATTGTCTTCCAAAATAAGTCCTAATTTTTTTGCACCTATCCAATTTTAAAGACTACACTTTAGTCTATAACCTTGCATCAATGTAGTCTATCTGTGAGATATCAAACCCTATCGTGCTGAACATTCGTGAAAAAGACATGGAAATAAGAACCGAGTTCAATGATTTACATCTTGATAGAATCAGCTTAACATTGCAACCCAATTTACATCAAAATGTCTTTAAAGAAGTAGAAAATGTTTTGGAGAGTACGAGGATTGTTGGAAAGGCCTTTAAAGAAAATCCTGGAGAGGATAGGGGAATTTTTCAAATTTTTTTAATTTTCTAAGGTTATTTTCGGCTGGTACAGAATTCAATGAGAATTCGAACTGAATATAAATCGTTTAACTCGGATCTGATTTTCATGTGCTTTTGACTAATGTTGGTTGTGCTTGTGAATGTTGTACTTCTGTTCATTCTCACCTACAATCACACCCTACTCTAAATCCTTTCAAAAAGCTATAAATTTTTCTCTTTTCTTCTTATTTCACTCGTTTTATCATACATATTTTTGTTAGGTCATATACTGTCAATCATTTTTGCCTATTTAATACACAATTTGATTTGCTATAATATTTCTGGGGTGTATTATATAAAATATGATTTTACATCAATAGTCCTAGTTTTATTTTTGTTTTTCTTTTCGAGATAAGTAATAAAAATGGGCGCAAAGTCTTCTAATTTGAACAAAAAAATTAAAACTAAAAATTCATCGGCACCTGTTTCAACTAAGGAGCAGAATCAAGAAAAATGTATCAATGTCGTGAAAGCTGTTGATATACAATCATCACAAAAAGAACAATTAGAGCAAAGTAAAATATTTTAATTAATTTTTAGTTGTTTTTTTTTTTGTCAATAAATCTTAAAATGTCTCTTGTAGTATTAAAACAGACGATTCCATCTACTGACAATATACTTGATGAACCTAACAACAGTTCTAATATTTCTTATAATAAGTCTCCTGCTTTGGAAATATCTATAAGAGAACAACCAACTGTAAACAGTAGTTCATTATCTAATGAACTTCAGTTAAGAAATTTTCTTTTGTATTCTTAGCAATTAAATTTTTGTTCATAGAATGAGTAGCAATCAAGTTTCTAATGGAGAACATCAAATTACAATATCAATCGATTCAATAAATCAAATAAATAAAACATTTGAAACTGGATCTACAATATCATTAGCAACAAATGTACCAAGTCAAGCTAAACAAGACTTATTTAATACTTTTAAAATAATGAAACTATCTGCTGATCTTTATGATGCATTATTTATTGAACATTTAGAAGATTCTGTGAGTCCATTAATTCGTGCTTTAGCTATGCGTCAAAAGTATGATTTAGATTATTTTTAAAAATTAAACTTCAATTTTTACTTTTATTAAAGATATATGCACCACAGCCTTCAATCATATTCATCAACGATTGAATATTTTTTAACTAAAATTTTAGAAGACGATGATCAATTACAATGTACACCATTAAATATCAATCTACTCAAAAAAGGTTGGTATCTATTAGTCATTTTGTTTTTCTTTATTCTATAGCATTGCTCTTTACTTTCTTTCTTGCTACTATCGATAACAAAAACCGTCTAAAAGTATTTTAGATTATGATAATCTTGAAAACAATCAGAAATACAAAGTCAGACATCAAATTCAGTACATTCGTATCTGATGTCAGCGCTCTTTTGTAGTTCTTGGTGTTTTACATTTCAATAATTTGACGAGTCAGCTGTAATCGAAAGTCGCAAAAGTGAATGTACTGAGTTAAGGGTACCCGAAAAAGTAGCCTGATACTAGTATGTCCGAGGATCTGTTAGGTACTCAAGTACTCTACTGGGGGGTACTATTGTACAGTATTTTTAGGTACCCTGTTGTCAAAATTCGGTATGTTGATGATCGAACCTAACCTTTGACTTTTTTCATTTTTGTTTCTCTCAAAGAAATTTATGACATTTTTTCGATTTTATTTAATTTAATTTTTTCAATTCTGAAAACGCAAGTAGGTCAAATTTTGAGATCTGACCAGACTTGAATTGGTCGAATCTCCATCAGACCATTTCATAGTCATTTCTCAATTTATTATCGAGATCGGCATGTGCTCGACTAGTAAAATAGTCAAGAAATAATCTAGATAAAATATTCATTTCTTATGTTTTGTCAAGTTGTTTATATAAAGCCGTGTATGCAAAAGAAAACGGTGAATGAACAGTTGCTACACAGAACGCGACAAATCTAGGGTACTCTGGAGAGCTTTCCTCAGTAAAATTATAGATGTGGATACCCATACAAGTACTTGTTTAGTAAACACACTGCTATGGGTACCCAATGCAGTACTTGCATCAGTATAATTACTGAGAATTTTCGAAGTACTCATATCGAGTACCTTTAGCTCAGTACATTCACTAGAGTAGATAGTCCTTGACGGAGATGAACTTTTGAATTTGTTCGACAGTTGTGTGTAGTCGACTTGTCCACTGTTTATCATCTTTGGCTCGTGTATTATTGAAAGTATCGTAACATCGCGTTTGTCAAATCGTTGTTCAGAAATTAAAATATCGGTGTGTTGATAATCGTGTTCACCTCTTTTCAGGTTGTTTATAAGATGGTAGTATATCAGATTAGCGATCTATCTGCTAGCACAGATCATGAAAACATTGTAAGAGATACGCAAGTTAGTTATAAGTTGATTTGAAGCTGAACATATATGTACGTTGCCTGTCCCCAAGGGGTTAATAATGAACTATTATTTGAAAAAATTGATGAATCTGTACATTCAATAGATAAAATAAAACAACTTGTATTTAATAATATTCATGAAACTTTTAAAAAACAAAACTTTAATATTGATATGTTATTATAAAGAGTTTTCTTATTTAGAAGAATCTGATCCATGTTGTACACCAGCTATAAAAGTTGAAAATCCATTTACTTATCCACTACTTCCACCTATCGACGCTTGTGTCAAAATAGAAAAAGGTATATATCATGTTTATATCCTTAATGAACAAAAACAATGGATACCATCTAAATACAAATCCATAAATCATGATGAGTTCATTGAGGATTTTATGCTTTTATCAAAAATGATTAATGATGGTCCATTACAATCTTTTTGTCATCGTCGTTTACAATATCTTAAAATGAAACATGAATTACATGCTTTAATTAACGAAGTTAGAGAATGGTCCGAAGCTAAATCAGCATCAAATAGAGATTTTTATAATGTTCGAAAAGTTGATACACACATTCATGCAGCAGCAGCAATGCATCAAAAAGGTTTATTAAGTTTTATGAAGAAAAAAATGGCAGTATCAAGTGATATGAAAGTTTATCAGAAACCAGATGGAACTATTTTGACATTAAAAGAAGTTTTTGTTGAATTAAAATTTGATATTAATGATATAGATACTGATCTACTTGGTGTTCATGCTGTAAGTAAATAATAGAAAATTTTCAAGTAGGAAAGATGATTCATTAAGACTTTGACTAAGGATTATCTAAATAAAAATGTTTTTTTTTTTTTGGGAACAAAATATTTGGTCAGTAAATAAAATTTATTAACAGTTAAATAAATCAAAGGGCAATTATAGAAATTAAAATGCATTATAGTATGATTCATTTTTTTTTCTTCCTTTTCGATAGCATTCAATTTTTCTGACTTTTCAGGTATTGTCAGATGACTAGAATATTTTGTATACAGGTCAAAAAATGAAAGTTACCGAATTTTTTTGAAAGATACATCATCTGACTTGATTTTTTGTACTGACTTCGAATCTGTACTTAGTTTGTGACTAAAAGCCTTATTTGAATACTGCACAACAATATCATTGATATAAATAAAAACTAGTTTTCTCAATATAGGGAAGGAAACGAAAAAAAGGATACGTAAGTTTTTGTTCGATGATATGATGGGTTGAATGACATAAAATATTTGACTTTATCAATTATGTACAAAAACTAGATGGGTTTACGAAATTAACCTATATGTGATGCACTCGGTCCAATTTGAAGTACCACCACCAATAGTTTTGAGTTTAGGGCCCCCCCCCCCCTCCAGAAACGAATTCTGTTATTTTTCATCCAATTTCAACCAAAATTTCAGAGAATGTTAGTCTAGGATAGGGGAGATTATGGTTAAAATATCTCTCCAAATCTCCAATAAACTAATGAGTTATAGTCAATTTATTGGTCAAAAGTACCTTGTACGCGGGGAAGGATTTCACAATAAGGACACGAGCTAACAAGCCCGGGTGGTTTTCAAGTTATAGAGTGCCCTTAGGGCTAGATCCTCACAAGGCCCGATTTTTGAGTTTCCCTTTGTTTGTTTTTGAAAAACCCTTTTTCGTAAAATTCACGAATTCATGCCCAAAAAATTGCTACTAAAAAATAAATATCTAATTTTTTTATTTCACAAAAAGTGAAATTCAAAAATCGGGCCTTGTGAGGATCTAGCCCTAAGGGCACTCTATAACTTGAAAACCACCCGGGCTTGTTAGCTCGTATCCTTATTGTGAAATCCTTCCCTGCGTACAAGGTACTTTTAACCAATAAATTGACTATAACTCATTAGTTTATTGAAGATTTGGAGAGATATTTTAACCATAATCTCCCCTATCCTAGACTAACATTCTCTGAAATTTTGGTTGAAATCGGATGAAAAATAACAGAATTCGTTTCTGAGGGGGGGGGGGGGGCCTAAAAGTTGGTTTATGAGGGGGGGGGGCCCTTAGAGTTGATCTAAGAACTTTTTTGATGCTGAACCTGAAAAAATTATTTTCAGAAGCAAAAAAAAAGGAGTTTAGGACATTTCGATAAAGAATGAGTTTTTTCGAAAATCTACATTTCTCAAGTATTTCGTGTTTTTCGACCGGAAGGAAGCATTTGCTAAAGCTAAAAAGTTTTTTTTTTCTTTATCATCGACTCAAGCTCTATCAGATGATGTAGAAAAAAACGTAGAAAGAAAATTTTACTGAAAGTTTGAATTGCGTGCACCTTACAATAATTTAATTTTCATCTTCTTTCATTCTTTAAATTTCTATTTAATGTTATGTTGTCATTTCTTTTTATTCATGTGGTTATTTTTTAAAATTATTTCTCTTATACTAAACTATTCTTTATATTGATAAAAAAAAAATTTCTACTGATAAAGTTTCTATTTTTTACTGATATAAAACGTATTTTTTGCTGCTAATTACATACAATAAACTGACCATTTAAATCGTAGCCTTTTTTTTTTTATAGTCCGTCATTATTTATATCAAAGATTATAGTTTTGTGTTTGTGTTACAAAATTATTCGATGATTTTGCTTTATATATACATGTTAAGTAGTGATTGAGCTAATATCTTTAAAAAAATAGAGTTCCTGTAGAGACTTAACGGTACCATTGACTTTATAATATAAGTTAATTTTGAAAGACTCCTTGCGAATTTCTATGAAGACATTGTGTTTTATCCATAACATATAGAAAAGCGTAGATTGTAAAAACAAGTTCATAACTCATGGAAAATTTAATCTAAATTTTTTCATGTAGTTGAGTACAAGAATTTATATTTACTTATTAGCTGCTTACTTTTTATTATGCATCATTATTTCATAAGCTGAAAACTGTTCAAATTTAAGCTATATTATGCAAATTTCAATCCAACATAGATTTATTATTAATAGTAAACAATAAAAAAAAAATGTTCAAAGCATGTTTGTTTTTTTTCTTTCATATCGTAAATAATGTGACTGTATAGTGATGACAACATTCTACATTATAGATAAAGACATCATTCGATCATTATTGAGTCTATGAAATGATAATGAATAACGATAAGTAAGGCAGTTAAGATCCCCTCCCTGTTCAAAAAAGTCAAATTTCGTGAATACTGTCAAAATTGAGATAAATACGTAGGAAAATAGGCTTACCCGAATTTCGCCAATAAGACTTTCGCCAACT